AGTTACTCATATTTTGTATTTTAAATACGTAACGGCGGTACATGTATTCCGTTACTCCCCAACACTGTTCATTCATATTAAGTTATTTTTATTAATAGTTCAGTTATATTACTTCCTGTGTATTTCACTGATATTTCTGCTTTACAGATGTGTTGAATATTATTGAATTTGCCGTATCTTGAATCTCATTGTTTATGTTTACATTATTAATCCTGTAATGCTCAGTCCTCTGCATTTAACCCATTCACTCATTCATGCAGTGGGCAGCTACCAATCCAGGATGGCCGCTATTCATTGGATTTGAACGTCCAACCGTTCGATCATGTGGCATCTACTGAGCTATCTGTGCCCAAGAGCTGGTCTTTAAGTGCTGATGTATGAATCCTGCTTCTCTGTGTTTATTAAGCCTGTTGTGCTGCTAACATGTTTTAATGCTTTTTATCTTGTTCTATTTGATCTGAACAAGCCCCTAAAACAGTCAGTGATCACTGTAACCATCAGAAACCTGCATTAACTTTTATCAGGTGGAAAAAAGTTAGCATTCATCCTCCAGCTTCACTGTGTTTATGCTAACATAGCTGTGTCGCTAGCAATCACGTAGCACATCATTATATAGCAGCTAGCCCAACTTCAGTAACCCAACAAACGTCTCTGCTGTTTAGTTTCTGTCTCCATGTTGGAACGTAGGAGGAAACCAGCGAGCTAACGTCTAACTCACTGATCATTTTATTAAAGATGAAACAATTCAGACAGTTTGTGACTCTCAGTGATGCCGCAGAGCTCCTTTGACTTTGGGACCTGCAGCCGAGTTTCAACCTGGATTATTGCTTAACACATAATTGTGAGGTGAATATTCACCCTTAATCTGTATAAATACATATGGTTCAGAAGAATTATAGTAAAGATGGTACATTTCAGGCTAGAATAACAAAGGGGAAGCTGTCAGAGGAACGAAAGAGAAGAGGAGCAGGGAGGATCAAAAAAGGAGAAAAAATTAACAGCCTGAGTTGAAGAAAGAGTTTCTCATAAAGGGAAAGATGGAGAAATAGAGTGAAAGAGGGAAAATAAAGAACATCAGTGAACTGAAAGGTTTTGGAAACAAGCACAGAGACAAAAGGAGAGAAAGTCCAGCAGCGTCTAAACACACAGAGAACTTTAGGAATCGAGGAGCAGGCGGCTGCTTGCTGATGAACTGTTAAGACGCAGAACTTGACATGTGCAAAAACAGAATTGTTACGATGTGTGTTGTGATATTACAAAGGTTGTTAAGGTTTAATGGTCATTTTGAAAGAAATAATATCTTGTTTTCTACTCGTGTGTCACCACCGTCAGCACCTTGTCAACTCCATAATATGGAGTTTTTGTTTATTTTTCTCTTTTGGAGAACCATATGTTTTCCTCCCTCGTGATCTTCCAATAAAAAATCGTAATTTTCTCAACAAATGTGTAATTTTCATGCTGCTAAATATGACTGTTTCTTATAGAGATTAAATACAAGCTTCTGAAAATATGTAAGTCTGTAACTCTAATAATAAAAACAAAAAAATCTTACTTTTAAACCTGGTATAATTAGTTTGAAAATGTGCATAAACAGTAGAACAGAGAAGCTGCTAATAGTCAAAACAGCTCAAACAACTTAATTTAAAATATATATTTGTGCATTTCTTTGTGACGGTGTTGACAAAAACCTTCTCCAGCAGAAACATAATTTATTAAAACATGTTACACCTGGAGACCAAAACATGGTGAGACAGCCACAACTTTGTGTAACTATTATATGTAAATATATTTTAGAAAATTAAAACCTGTTTTGTCTCTAATCTCAGGAAACACTGAGATATATTTTGAGCAGCCAAAGGCACCAATTTCATCACGAACTCACTGTGAGATTTTCCACTTGTCAGCTTCACAACACAGAAGCTTTAGCATCTTTAGACTGATGGGAAATATTTCCTCCTCCTCAGTTAGCACGCCCTCACCCCGTCCTCCACACATTTATATGTCAGTGTAAAGATGGAAAAAC